TCGTAGTAGTAGTAGTAGTAGTAGTAGTAGTAGCAGGAGTAGTAGTAGTAGTCGTAATCGTAGTAATGGTAGTAGTAGTTGTAGTAGTAGTAACAGTAGTAGTAGTAGTAGTAGTAGTAGTAGTAATAATAGTATTGGGAGTAGTAGTAGTAGTAATAGTAGTAGTGGTAGTAGTAGTAGTAGTCGTAGTAGTAGTAGTAGTAGGTAGCAGCAGTAGTAGTAGTAGTAGTAGTAGTAGTAGTATTAGTAGTGGTATCAGTAGCAGTAGGAGTAGTAGCAGGAGTAGCAGTAGTAGTAGTAGTAGTAGTAGTAGTAGTAGTAGTAGTAGTAATAGCAGTAGTAGTAGTAGTAGTAGTAGTAGTAGTAGTAGTAGTAGTAGTAGTAGTAATAGTAGTAGTAATAGTAGTAGGAGTAGTAGTAGTAGCAGTAGTAGTCGTAGTAGTAGTGGTAGTAGTGGTAGCAGTAGTAGTAGGCGTAGTCGTAGTCGTAGTCGTAGTAGTAGTAGTAGTAGTAGTAGTAGTAGTAGTAGTAGTAGTAGTAGTAGTTCTAGTCGTGGTAGCCGTAGTAGTAGTAGTAGTAGTAGTAGCAGTAGTAGTAGTAGTAGTAGTAGTAGTAGTAGTAGTAATAATAATAGTAGTAGTAATAATAGTAGTAGTAGTTTTAGTAGTAGTCGTCGTAGTCGTGAAAGAAATAATTGTGACAGTCTGGCGTGTCGTCGTGACGCCTGTCGCGCGTGCCACGTCGTCCAATCGATCGTTGCTCCGCCTGCTTGGTCCAGTGGGCAGCCTGACCTCGGCGCGCACGTCGCGCTTGACAATATTACAACACGGTGGATTGCGCCATGCTGTTCATCATCGGTTCTGGTTTTTGCTGTTCTGGAATATGCTCTTCAATTCTGTGGCACCGTGCTGTAACATGCTATCTTCTGTTAAACGTTGCTCAGCGATGATGTTAACGTTCTGCTGACTTCGTTACAGTATATGATGCCCTGCGCTGTAATGGTATACTTTTCAGGGGCGGTGTAATACATGGTGGTCTGTCAAACTCGTTGGCGTAAGAGTATCAGTCGTGAAAGAGCTATGCTAGGGTATGCTGGCTTCGTTGTGTTCTGTTCTCTGTTCATTCCATTCTGCGATGTTATGTTATTTCCTGCAATATGGTACAGCCTGCGATGTCTGAATGCATGCGTTGCTGTCGTGGTTGCAATCGTAAAACAGTTTCTGCACGCTCTGTTATGGTCTGTGATGATCTACCCCATTCTGCTCATTTCTGCCATGGTATGCGTTGTTAATTGATGTGATGCTCGATGCTGCGTTCTGTCATGCTCTGTTCTGTCGAGACATGATCTGTTACACTCTCTAATCGTTTGCTATGCTCTAGCGTGTCAGGCTGAGATATGTTATTGTATGTGCTGCCATGCTATGAAGCGCCGCGGTTCTGTGTTATGGTATGAGATGGTTGGTCATTGCTTGCAATGTTTTGGCATGGTATGTTACGATATGGTCTGGTGTGCTCTCTCATGTTCGTGCTGATGTTTGGTTTTATGGTATGCTATGTGGTGCCATTGCATGCGTGGTTATGCTGTATGCTGTTGTTATGGCATGGCATCATTTAATACTATGGTGTGATATGGTATACTGTCTTATGCCGCGCTCTATCATGGTGTGGTTTCCAATTGTATGTAATGCTATGTGCGTTGTTGCTGTGCTACGGTGCGAGCTGTGCTGCCATGGTATGCTATGTTATGGCATGTTATATCATGGTGTGTCATGTTATGCTCTATTGTGTCTGTTATGATGTGCGGCGATATGCTCTGCTCTGTCCGATCAATTCTGTCATCGCATATGGTGTTATGCTCTGGTATGCTCTGCTATAGTGTAACATTTCATGCCGCGCTCTGCCATGCTGTGAATTGTCACCTGTGCTGCGATGTTATCTGTCATGTTATATGTTCTGTGATGCTGTGTTATGGTGTGGTGTCTCCTGTTAGGGTGTTATAGAATGGTATGTCATGTCAAGTGATGCTATGATATGGTATGGTATGGTATGTATGCTCCGATCTGTCATATCATGCTTTGTTATGCTGTGTTGAGACAATGTATGTTGTGTCATGTTATGTGAGGCTGTGTCAAGTTCCGTTGCTGTATGCTCAATTCTGCGACGCTTCTTACTGTATGCTTACGTTGTCGTGCTATGTTATGTGCTGTGATACTGTGCCATAATATACACTTCTCTGTCATGCTGTGTTATGTTCCGATATGTTCTGTCATGAAATGGCATGTTCTGCTCTGATGGTGTGGTGCTATGCTCTGTTTGGTCACAACTTGCAACGTTGTGCTGTACAATGTTCTGCTATTTCATTCTACCGCTCTGTCATGCTATGGTTTGTCGGAGCGAGGCGGGACACTCGGAGACACTCGGGGGATCTGGGGATCTGGCGGCCGCGGTATGCAGAGTGGCGCGAAGCGGGACTCACGGGGACACTAGTGGGGCCTGGGGATCTGGCGGCCGCGGTATGCAGAGTGGCGCGAGGCGGGACTCTCGGGGACATTCGGGGTAGATGGGGATCTGGCGGCCGCGGTATGCAGGGTGGACGGGTCAGGAAGTCTGTTCTGTAGACCTACCGACCTCAACATGTCGGGTGGGGAAAACTCGAAGAAAACGCCCAGGTCCAGTCCGGATTCTTGATTTTCTACAAACGAAATCTGGAGCCCATGACACTTGATGATTTTTCTTAAGGTTTCTGATGGGTGTACTTCAGGCAGCCTTCCACTCCGTCTGTGCACAGGCTGAGAGAAGTCCTTCCAGCGCCGAGGACATTCTCCCGCAACGGCACAAGCTGCTCCGGAAAGGGCGCAAGGGCACCCTCCAGGGTCTCCTGCGAGGCCTTCCAGCCGAATTCCCTGCATCTGCCTCCGACAGCGAACACGACAACGGTTTTATACCTGATACCCGACTCATCCGACTTTGCAACCTGTGCCATTTTTTCAATCACTCGCGGGCCGGATCTCCCAGCTGGTGGATGTGGTAAGATGCCAAGGTGTGTCCGTTCAAGATCTGTCATCCAAGTCAGATTTAAACGCTGGTACATTCCTGACGGCCCCAGGGCCTGGAACGGGCCCCCAGAAGCTGAGGCTGAGGAACAACTCCATCCTCGAGCCTCGCCGCCGAAGCTCCCTCAAGCAAATATGCACCTGGACCTATCCAGGGGCGAATTCTGGCCAGAATCTCACCAGCTCTCTGGGCGTAGGTAGTTTAGCGAATTACGGGTTCCACCCCCCTTCTTCCCCTCCTGTTCGCTACTGATTGTCACCCCCTCGCACACCGGGGGCAAACTCGGAACCACGACAACACGTTCCCACTCAAACAAAAACAGCACGAAGTACACTTTGTGAACAACTCTGTATCACGCGCGGGCACCAAGCGATGACTTCGCACCTTCTCTGAAAGTGACGAGGGGGCGGCATATTGCCGGCTGCACGCATGCCCATCATCCCTGCCAGAAAAAATCGGCCGACCCTGTCGGCGTGTGACAATCTTTTTCGCTTGAGTCGTCGTTCGTCGTCGTCGTCATCTTCGCCGCCGCTCCCTCTCATATCTTCCAGCCAAAGGAAAATCGAGCAAAGTTGCAATCGAGTCGAAGGGAAGCCCCCTGCCTTTGATCCCTCCCTCGCTGGGGGGGGGGGAGGGTCCTGGGGGTGGGGGTCCAGGGAGGGGGTGGGGCGGTCCTGGGGTCTGTGACACCCCACTAGCACCCCTCCCTGGAAGAAGATTTCGGCTGCAGAGCGTCAGCGTCGTCGTCGTCATCGCCGTCGCCGTTGTCGTCGTCGTCGTCGTCGTCGTCGTCGTCGTCCCATCCCCTTGCAGGGTCGCCAGCACCGGCCGTCAAGCCATCGCAAAAATTTTCGAAACAACCAAGTATTGCCCCACTACTACCCAAGAGAGCCGGAAGAAGGCCTCACGGCGCCTCCAAACAACCCCAAGACACGCCAAAACGGTTTCTAGACTTTCAAATAAACGCCGGAGTGGCCCCAGGAAGCGACCACAGAGGCCCCAGCGAGTCTAAGAGAGCCCCAACAGTGCCCCAAAGCGGCCCCAACATATACAAAGTACACCAGCGCATCGGGGACGCGCTCGGATTACCAAAGCTCCTCCTCCTCCTCCTCCTCCTCCTCCTCCTCCTTCCTCCTCCTGGTCCTCAGGATCATCTGTCTCCTCGTCCTCCTCCTCCGCCAGCAGAGCGACGCTGACAGCAAGATTCGATCAGGGTCCTCCGCCTGCTCACTCCACACTTTTACGCCCGCACTGCTTGCGAGATGTGTATGCTCGTTTCCCAGTGGGACCCGCCATGACTTCCGAACTGCAGGCTACGTACTTCCCATGAGGAAGTCACCAGATGGCGAATTGGGCCTGAGAGGCTTCCAGGGACACCCCAAGAGGGTCAAAACAAAGCTCCGAGAGTAAAACAACGGCAGAAAGAGACCTCAAGGCGGCCTGACTAACCAAGGTCTGACCAAGAAGGCCCCAAGTTGCTGCGAGAAAACAGGAAGCTCACATTTTCTGCTGCTGGCCTCACTTTACCCCAACGGGCTTCAAAACGGTCCCCAGGGGCCCCAAGGTAGCCCCAGGACCGCCCAATATGGCCCCACGGTGGCCTCCGTAACCCACAGGGCACCACAAATATCGCGCACGATGTTCCCCCCACCCACAAGATGCCCGCGGATGCCCCTCAGGAGCCCCCACGAGATGGCCCTTTGGAGGCCTCCAGATATCCCTAAGTCTGCGTGGTATAGCCTCGTAGGCTGCCACTGAGGCCCCTTAGATGTCCCAATGTCTGCGCAGCACAACCTCGTAGGTTGCCGCTCAGAGGCTCCAAGATGTCCCCAAGAGGCTGCGAGATTGCCCCGCCAAGACCCACGTGGTCCCAGCACCACTCCCAAGAGGGCTCCGCCTGGGGGGGGGCCAGCGGCAGAGGAGAGGCCACAGCCCTTTTCGGATACTGACATAGCCAACGGGCACGACCACGCTGCCCATCTCCCGCAGTCTTGCGAGGCTCTCGTCGTTAACGTCTGGGGTGACCATGGTGATGTGAGGATACGACGAGAAACGCTGCACGGAGAGTATCTGCATTTCCACTGCAGCGGTGCTGTTGGCACTATTGCCAACCAGCAGAGTTACCCATGCTCTTTCGCTGGGCTCGCGCGCGGTCGATTCGGACAGGTCCACGCCAAGCACGCGGCTGGCCCTTCTCTTGCTATACAAGTGCGATGCGCTGAGGAAGCATGTGCTGTCTTTGTCGGACTCTGCCTCGGCGCATTCATCATGTGTGCCCACATCTCTACTGGGGATGTCCAGCTCCTGCGTGGGTACGGCTGCAAGCGGATTCGTGTTGGACGCCGCGGCGCCTTGTGCAAGACAAACAAAAATCGAGGGCACTGATGTGATGATGTCCCATCGGAGGAGGCGCATCGTCTCGGGTATGCTTCAGTTGCGGAGGGCTGCTTTACGTACGCCCAGGCTGGGGAAGACCAAGAAACTGCCTCCTGCCCAGATGCCTCTGAGCCAACCGTGCAGCGTCCTCTTGTGGGAGAAGGGAAAAGGAATGCTGGGCCCTACTGTGATGCCTTGGATCTCTTTGGGCTGTCCTGGGTCATTTGGGCCCTTGTCGGGCCCTCTTGGGGCAGTCTTCGGCCATCTTGGGGGGCTCGCTGGCCCCAACGAAGCGATCTTGGAACCACCTCCTGTCGAAAAGCGGGACCCTCCCAAACATCAATGTTACCAACAACGTGCCCAATCCGCTCGCTGCGTGTGGCAGCGCCGATGGACTCGCAACGTGCTCGCGCATCTATACCGCACGCTGCTGCGATGCACACTGTGAGGGATCAGACAATGTTGACATTTCTACGAATGGCAATCTTCCGGGCACCCTGAAGACCTAGAGCACAAGCGAGACAATAATGAACAGGATGCTACGACGATGCTTATAGGGAATGTGAGGAGTGCGCGAGGAGGCGGAGGAACACGCGCGCTGGTGACCAGGGGTCACAGGGTGAGCGGACACAGGAGGGACAGCGACGACGCCTTTGATGATATGAGCGATGCGCTCGATCGTACACGAACGCTGCCTGACCGAAGTTTCGCGCCAGCTTCTCGGCGGCGGCCGTGCGAGCCCCCGCCGTAGCGTGAGAAGCACACAAGAAAGCTGCAAGACCCACTGGCCGCACCACCATTCAGCCATGCAAGGGCCTGCTGGGCTGAGATCGCCCGCCAGTTCAGCTGTTCGGCGGCGTCTCGCGTCGTGCGCCTGGCAGTTCCCAGGGCAAGCGAGGCCTGAGTTGGATTCGCGTGGCGCGCCGCTCTGGTGGACCTCGTGGGGGTACAAGAAAGTGTTGACAACTGTACGCTTCGCAACATCCAGGCAGGATACATGACTTGAACCTGCGCTGGACGCCACTCCGCTCGATGCCCCAGTGTGCCCAGGAAGCTGCACCAGGGGCACGAACGACGACATAAACATCACAACTCGGAGGTACGCGCGGATTTCTCGCATCAGCGCTGGACCCCCGCGGACCTCCGAGTTTTTATGTCATTGTCCGTTTCCCTGTGCACGCTCGGCGCCATCCCAGGCAGACGATTTTGCGCCCCGGCGCTTTCGTGGACGGCCCCGGGGCCCGCCTGAGGGCCTGCCGACGCCGCGGACGGCCCAGCACAGGGCCTGCCGCCGCGACTCGTCTCGCCACACCAGGGGGCGGCCGTTCGGGGCTTGAGGCGCAGCGGAGGGAGAAAGCACCCCGAGGGGGGAAACCTCAAGGATTATGTTGCTCCCATCGTACTCCAGGGCCAAATCCCATACATAATATTGAGCACCCAGACAAGTATCGAAACAGTGTCGAACGAGCATCGCCTCTGAGGGCCCGACACGTCAAAACCCTCACGCTTCCGTGCTTTCTTGGTGCTCGAATGGTGATCAAGGCTAAAGTAGGTTGGAACATCCTAACTCGAGGCTGGAAACCTCAAGGAGCAGAAGGGACCATCCGAAACATCTTCGGCGTCGAGGCATTTGTTCAGTTTTCGGGTGTTTTTTCGTCGGTGTTCGGTTTTCAGGCGTCTTCGGACGGTTTTCGGTGTTTGGGCGTTTGGCTCTCCGACGTTTTCGTCGGTTCTCGGCGGTTGTCCAGCCTCGGGATGCTTGCCAACAACTGCGCCTCGACGATCGACGAGGGCGGTCCGGGGGTGCCCAAGTAGTTCCGAGAGGCGGCCCGAGTTATGACCCAAAAACCAAATTCGGCGGCGCGTCCGCGGGGAAATGAGAAGGAGAAGGCCTTCTCAGAAGGCGGCGGGACTTCTCAGAAGGCCGGGGGACTGCCTAGCCTTCTGAGGAGGCCCGCCCCTTCTTACTTCCCCCCACCCCCGGCTGGCCGCTGACATGTGAACGACGATGAAAACGGGTCTTACGCGAGATGGCACAGCGACCTTACGCCGCAGCTTACGCGGGCCGCCACCGCGGCAAGCTACATTGGAGACGAGGGCGCTTGCGCGCGACCTTACGCGGACAGCTTGCGCGCCAATGTCGGCGAAAACGACAACGTTTTTTTGCGTCGCTCATCTGAGGTCCGACCAGAATCCGAAAACTCCCTGCCTCCTTCGACCACACGCAAGAGTGACCCTGGGCAAGAGTGACCCTTGGTGCGCGGCTTTCGTGGACCGCGGGGGGGCCAAATCTAATCGCGGCAGCACGTGCTGTGGGGGTCCTTGTGTGCCCGCACCAGAGGTAACTCCAGCGAAGGGTCACTCGTACGCGTGGCCGACTCCCCCCCCTCCTTTGCGCCAGACAGCATCCCGAGGCAGCTCCAAGAGCCAGCGTCGGGGGAGGACGGGCCCGGGGCATACTCGCCCAGGGTGTGGGGGGCTCACCTGACTGCCTACCAGGACACCCAAACCTGACCCGGAGACCCGAACTTCGGGTTGAGTGGAGGGGAACCAACACTCACACACACTCACGCACGCACACACTCCCGCAGTCCCCACCCCCCTCTGCAACGCCCCCGCACCATCTCCACCCCACCGAGCTTGGCCCGGCCGCTCCTCGGCCATAGTTCGGACCCCGGGCCAACGAACTTCGCGCCCCGCGCCCCGCGATGCGCCAGGCGCGGGCAGCTTCGCGGCCTCGCGCCGCCGCCCCCCCGAGAGAAGGGCAGCTCTCTCCCCCTTCGTGAAAGGCTCAACGACTTCTGTCGTCCTTCGCCTCGCGCTCGCTGGACATGGAGGGCACATCGGGGCCCTCGGGTTGGGCTGCGGTGGCTTGGCGGGCGCTGATCACCGCCGCGAGCTGGCTCAGGGCCGCCGCGGCTGCAGTGTGGCGCTCGGGTCCACGGGGGCCCTGGTCCGCCCTCGCGCCCCTCGGGGTGAGGCACTCGCATCTCCCAGGGCGGGCCGCGCCGCGCGCGAGAAGAAAGGATGCTGCGCGCCTCGGGGTGCACTTCGCCCTGGCCTCGTCTCTCGGACTCGGGTCCGACCTCGCCCGCCCGTGCCGGCGAGGTCGGCCGCCAAGGTGTTCGCGAACCAGCCCTGGCTTTCCTGGTGCCGCCCGGCGCGCCCGAGGCGCCGGTGCAGCGAGGAAATCGCCCTGCGGCGGGGCCGAAACAGGCTGCGCGCAGCAGATCTCGTGTCCCCTACCCCACCCCACCCTGTGCTTCCGGCCCTGCGGACCCATACCTTTTTTTGGGGGTTGTGTATGAACGTCGATGCCCAGCGGTCTGGGCCCATTCCCCAGGAGCGGTTCTTCATCCCGAATCGTTTTTTGACGGTCCCGAGGCCCGCTGGGGCGCCCAGGGCCGAGACACCTCCCGTCGTTTTTTTTTTTCATGGCTCGAGGTGGTCTTGGAGGGGGGGGGTCGGATCGGGAAAGGTGGAAGAGGAGAAGGCCCTAATCCCACCAGCCCTCTGGGCGTGAGTGGTTTAGGGAGCCCTCTCTGTCCTCAACCCCTTTCTTCCCCTTCGGGGAGGGGTTTATCACTGTTCTATCACTGTTCCCTATTAATAAACACCCCCTCCCCCAGGCGACTGGGGGCCAACCAGGGTCCTGCCGACCCCCCCCCACCATCCCTTGAAAAAAACAATACAAAACACACTCTGCCTCCAAATTCGGAACATGCGCAGCCAACCCGATGGGCCCCCCCAACATCCCTGTCAAAAAACAATACAGAGTACACTTGGCGGCGGCGGCGGCTGCGGCGGCTGCGGCGGCGGTGGCGGCGGCTGCGGCGCCGCGCGGCGGGGCGGCGGCGGCGGCGGGGGCTGGCGGGCGGCGGCGGCGGCGGCGCGGCGGCGCCCAGCGGCAGCGGCGAGGGCAGCGGCTGCGGCGGCGGCGGCGTTTTGGCAGCGGGGGACGCGCGGCGGCGGCGGCGGCGGCGGGCGGCGGCGGTGGCGGCGGCGGCGGCGGCGGCGGCGGCCTGAGGCGGGCGGCGCGGCGGCGGCGGCGGCTGCGGCGGCGGCGGGGTAGCGTGGCGGCCAGCGGCTGCGGCGGTGTCGGCGGTTTGGGCGGCGGCGACGGCGGCGGCGACGGCGGCGGCGGCGGCTGAGGCGGCGGCGGTGGCGGCGGCGGATTGGCCCCCAGTAGCTGCCCATCCCAAAACGACTGCTGAATATGCTGAGGCTCGGGCCAGACTCGGGTGCTACGTATGTGTTGGGAGGGCGGGTGGGAGTGAGCGAGACGGCTTGCGGGCGGGGAGGGGGTAACTTGACCCCTCCCCCTGGACCTGGAGAGGCCGTTCCGCGGGTCGTCAGGGCGTCCAAGATGGGCAGCCGAAAAGGCGCCGCGTGCTGTAATTTCATTGGGTTTCGGGACCCGAGGGGGGGACAGAGATTATCCCGGCAAAGCAACCTAACAGCGATGTGTAGAAGCATATCTGAAAGCATTCCCCTTAAGATTCAGATGAAAATCCAGTTGTAGAATTCTGCTGTTCTCGCAGTCGTAGTCGCATTCGCGATGACAGTCGCAGCGGCAACGGCAGTCGCAGTCACAGCCTCAGCCTCAGCCTGCCTCAGCCTCAGCCTCAGCCTGCCTCAGACTCAGCCTGCCTCAGCCTCAGCCTCAGCCTGCTTCAGCTCTGAGCCTTTGTTCCAAAAAAAAGTTTTTTTACCCCCCCCCCCCCCCCCCCCCCCCCCCCCCCCTTTGGCCTTCACCTCGGCCTCAGCCTCAGCCTGCCTCAGCCTCAGCCTGCATCAGCTCAGCCTCAGCCTCAGCCTGCCTCAGCATCAATCCTGCTTCAGCCTCAGCCTCAGCTGCCTCAGCCCTCAGCCTCAGTCTGCTTCAGCCTCACCTCAGTCTCTGCCTTCAGCCTCGGCCTCAGCCTCAGCCTGCCTCAGCCTCAGCCCTGCCTCGGCCGCACAAAAAAAAAAAAAAAAAAAAAAATCAGCCTGCCTCAGGCATTCAAATTGTGGCCCCAGGAATGACGTTCTGGAACTAGAGAAAACGAAGTGGCCTACAGTTGGCTCCAAGGCATTCAAAATGGTGGCCCGGGAATGGAGTTCTGGGAACTCGAAGAACACGAAGTGGCCTAC